CTAAATTCTTTGCAAGCAGATATAGAACATTAGGCAGAGGAAAGTGTTTCCATTTTCATCTGGGACCTTGTTATCTAAAGCATTTCATTTAAATCTTGAAGTCCCTCCCCCTGCCCCCCCCCAGAAAAAAAGCCTATCAAGTTTAGTCTGAGCTTCAGAATCTCCTCATTTTTACATCAACAAGAAATAATAGCCATATGCACAGAAGATACTTGTTACTTTTTAGGTCTCTTTCCATTTTTCCTTCTTCAACATTTCATTGTATTTCTTTAGTGAGAACATTATCTCTACCTTTGCTAAGAAGAAAAGCAATATTTTTCTATATAGGCAGCTTTTTTTAGTTCCTCTTTAGCTGGAGTAGACCTACATTATAGTCCAAAGAATCAATATATTTATTTTTTCTGAAGTTCTTTAGTTCTCCCTCTGGCAGCTGGAAGGAGTCATTCAAGAATTAGGCAATATGACTTTCTGTGATTAGACTAGTTAATCATGGAAATTGCACCAGAATACTAAACCAGTCTGTTTTTAACCATCAACCTAAGAAAATTCATATCAACAGTTCTAACTTTAAAACATGTAGTTTTTACTTGAGCATTTTGATTTTTCCTACTTCCAAGAAATAGCTTAAAATAAACTTCTTATTCCTTTAATTCCCTTATTTCTCCCTGATCCCCTTTTGTACCTTCTCCCTCAGAGGTGTTGGCCCCGATTTCCTGAGTTGGAGGGCAGGACATTCTTAGAATTCATGAGGCTTGCTTCAAGAGGGTGTCTGCTTTGAGGTCATGCAGAAGGACTAATTTTGGCTTCAGGATCTTATGCATATCATATCTTATAAATGACCTATAAAGCATTTTTAAATATTGCAGACATTTTAAAAGATGAAACCAATTAAATTTTTATAATAGAGGGTGGGATAAAAAAATAAGATGCAAAGGTTGGAGGACGAAATCAACTACAGGAAGCACAGCTAGGATTTCACCGGGTTCCAGTGTTAAATGGTTTGTCCTTTTGCTTTACCCAGCTTGTGTCAAGGTGAATAATGCTTTTTTTTTTTTTTTAATAATGCTTTAGAGGCAAATTCTCCAAACTTAAAGGCAGAGAACATTCACTAGGAACAGTGTATTTTTTAAATTATCAGTATCATTGTCATCATTTTCTTTCCCCTCTGCTTTTAATAGTCATGCTTATTTATGTCCTAATTAAGAATTGCCTCTAAGAAACACGCCATTCTTCATAGTAAAGTTCAGACAGTTGGGTGTATGGAGTTGTTGTCATTGCTTTGTTTTATTTCAGTGCTCGTGTGCCTGGTTTTCCATATTCACCTACACGGGCTAGGTGGTGAAGACAGAAGTGGAGGCAGCTCAGCAACCTCTGGCCTCTCAGGAGAATCTGGAGAAAGCAAGCAGCTACGGTTGCTCATGCCTTCTTTCCTGGTAGCCCTCCAGGACCCACACACACTCCACCCTTTCCATCTCTTTCAAATTGTCCTTCTCATGGCCTTCCAACCACAAATGAGAATCCCTATTCCTGTTGCTTTGCTCAGTACATTATTCCTCCCTACCTAGAATGCCAACTTCTCCACCTTTCTTTTTTTTTTTGCTTAAAGAGGTAGTGTTGACTAGGGGGAAGCCAAGAAGCTTTGTAGTAAAATGGAACTGATTCAAATCCCCGATCTACCACTTATATTTGACCTCAGACAAGTTGCTTAATCTCATGGAGAATCAGTTTCTTTGTCTGTAAAATTAATAACATTTCATAGGGTGTTTTTGAGGCGTAAGTGGGAAAAAAAATTCAAAAGTACTGAAGAAATACTGGTCCCCTTCCTTGCAATTCCCCCTTTTTAAAGTTGTGTTTTTAAGTCCTACGTATTCTTCACACTTCAAGGTCTTCCCACTCAAAGCCCATTCTCTGAAGCACCTACTGGGCACAGTAGACCAGTTCATTAGTGTTTGTTGTCTTTATTTACTATCTCCCCAAGTTGCTTGTTAAATTTCTTGAGAGCTAAAGCTCTCTTGAAAGAGTCTTCAGTTTCTGACGTAGCCTTGTTGAAAATAGCCTCAGATGTATGATAGTGTAGAACTGGAAAATGGAAAGTGACTCCCAAAGTATGCAGTTCCCCTCTCTCTAAACTAGCAAGTTGGGAAGGGCTTTGAGTCCTTTATGTTTTATTGGTACAATGAGGGAAATGACTGAGTAGCACTTTGCGAAATTACAGAATCTGAAGGGGAATCATCAGATCCAGAAAGACTTCCTGTATTCCCATTGCTACAAAGACAGCTTGATTGGGTACATACATCTCTTTAAGGCAACATTCTCTTTTAAAAGAAAAAAAAAACTTTTAGAACATGTTTGGATATTCTGATAAAGGAGAAAAGTTACTTATACACTCTGTTATCAGAGAAGTGTCCTATAATAGGAATGTAGGCTTCTGTTGAATATACATCTTCCGCAACAATGCACGTGGAACATGAGGAGACCTGTTCAGCCAGCCAGATCTCCACCAGAGAAGAGTAATACATTCCTCTTCCCAGAGAATGACTGTCAAGTGGAGCTAGATAGTGGCTGTTTATCTCTATTAACACACGGCTCCCTAATAAGTTCAAAGCTCTTTGACTCCTGGGCAAAGTTGTATCAAGAGGTCATGTTCACTATACATGTCAGAAAGTATTAGGTTGGTACAAAAGTAATTGTGGTATCGGGCCATGAATTTTAAATCATTACAACTAGGTGCAGACAGATCTTTATTAATCAAAATAAGAACCATTACAATCAACACATTTTTGCCAATGAGAATCAAGTTTGTTTATTCCTGTAGCATAAAAATCCATGCTTTGGCATTTGAGAAGCTCTTGGAAAGCATTTTCTGCCTCCTGCTGGTTGTGGAAGTGTTTTCCCTGCAAAAAGTTGTTGAGATACTTGAAGAAGTGGTAGTTGGCTGGCTACTGGAAGTTGACAGCGGCCAACTGAAAGCAATCACTGAAGCTGATTCTCTTAGAACTATACAAGAAGTAGTCAAAGAACTCAACTTCAACCATTCTACAACATTTGGCATTTGAAGCAAACTGGAAAGATGAAAAGCTAGATAAATGGGTGCCTTATGAGCTGACTGTAAATCAGCTAAAATCAGAGGTCAGGTAAATATGGCAGATGAGACAAAATTTTGTAGGCCAGTTCACTCAACCTTTGAAGCACTGGTTGTGCAGTTGGGCGTTATGACAAAGATTGGGCCCATTCTGTTGACCAATACCAGCTGCAGGCGTTGCAGTTTTCAATGCATCTCATCGATTTGCTGAGCATACTTCTCAGATGTAATGGTTTCACCAAGATTCAGAAAGCTATATTAGATCAGACGGGCAGCAGACCACCAAACAATGACCATGATATTTAGTGCAAGTTTGGCTTTGGGAAGCGCTTTGGAGCTGCTTCTCTGTCCAACCAGTGAGCTAGCTGTTCATTGCTACTCAGTGGTTAGAGCAATCATAAAATCCACTTTTCATCATATGTCACAATCCGATTGAGAAATTGTTGGTTCACCGTTGTTGCATAGAATAAGAGAAGACAGCACTTCAAAACTATGATTTTTTTTTATTTTCAGTCAGCTCATGAGGCACCCATTTATCTAGCTTTTCACCTTTCCAGTTTGCTTCAAATGCCAAATGTTGTAGAACAGTTGAAGTTGAGTTCTTCGACTGCTTCTCATATAGTTCTAAGAGAATCAGCTTCAGTGATTGCTTTCAGTTGGCCGTTGTCAACTTCCAGTGGCCAGTCACTGCACTCCTCATCTTCAAGGCTCTCATCTCCTTTACAAAACTTCTTGAACCACCACTGCACTGTGCGTTTGTTAGCAGTTCCTGGGTCAAATGCTTTGTTGATGTTGTGAGTTGTCTTCGCTGCTTTACAATCCATTTTGAACTTGAATGAAAAAATTGGTTGAATTTGCTTTTTTGTCTAACATTTCTGTAGTCTAAAATAAATATAAAATAAACAGTAACTAGTATGTCATTAGCCCCCCCAAAAAAAATAAAGTGAGAAATTCATATAAAAATGATGAATAAATAAATACGTTTATTTAAGAATGTATTGTAGTATCAACTGGCAGAGTTCAGCAATGCAAAACCGCAGTTACTATTGTACCAGCCTAGTATCACACAGTGCTATGATTACATTCAAATGTGACATTTTATGCTTAGATAAATCGTTACTGGGCTTCCCAGGGGGTGCTAGTGGTAAAGAACCTACCTGCCAACACGGAAGACATACAAGAGGTTTGGGTTCAGTCCCTGGGTCGGGACGATCCCCTGGAGAAGGAAATGGCACCCCACTCCAGTATTCTTGCCTGGAGAATCCCCCACCATGGACAGAGGGGCCTGGCAGGCTACAGTCCATGGGGTTAGCAAAGAGTCAGACACATGACCGAGCGACTGACACTTTCACACATGATCAAAATTTGTTTTCCAAAAGAAAAACAGGCACCTGTGTGATCTGACAGTCACAAATGTGGCTTCTCTGCCACCCTATCCCCCTCCAGGCCCTTGGTTTTTAATTTCTAATCCTTTACCTTTTAGTCTTTCACTTTAAGCTATAATGCAAGAATGGTATACTCTTCTGCTGTAATTCATCTATCTCCAGACTTATTCAGATACTCATCTGTCATTTCTCACGTTCGAAAGGCAAATAGAAGGAAAACCACTTTTTTTATGATGTTTCTGACTTTCAGAGAAGTGTTTCACAATCATTCATAAAGAATGGAGAGAGATCTTGGGCCTTCGTTCTTAGAGCTTTTCCCCCAAATACTTAACAGTAGCCTAACAGGTGAAACTTGAACTTAAGTGCAAAATCGTGAATCACAGTTATGACCTGGCTGTCAAGGGCACTTTTCTCCTGCTGAAGAAAAACGCAACGGTCCCCTTTTTGCTCTTCCTGATACTTGGGGACCTTGAGCTGTGGGACTACACAAGAGAGGTTTCTAATATGCTCTGTCTGTGTCTCTTGTCATTGAGGTAATTGTCATGTGAAAACCCTGGACAACAGCCATGACAAAGAGAAGTATTTTGACAACTCACAGTCACTGGATGCTGCTGAAGAAGAGCCCTCTGAGGCAGGGACAGAGGAAGACCCTGTGCTGTCTGTTGAGAATTCAGGGAGGGACTCAGATGTCCTTAGCCTTGAAAGTAAGTTGCTTTGACCTGAGCTGTGTTCCTGGGGTAGCATCAGCTCTCAGGCTTGGAGCTTAACTGAGGCTTCTCTTTCCTCTCAAGCATTTGTTTCTTTAACAGCCACTTACTATACTGTAGAATCATGAGGGTGACCCCAGATTGGGAGGCAGAAAACAAGCTATAATGTGAAATTGCTCTTCACACTTCTTTTCTCTCCACCTCAACGTCTTCGTTTACTAGAGCCAATTTGATTTATGTACCAGTCTTCTTAATGTCATTAGTTTATTGAGTAAATCATCAAAAAAAGAAAGCACGTTGTATTTACACTAACCCAGTAAAATTTAAAGATTTGAAATAACGGGCGTCTACTATGCCCTCTTCTAAACTTCCATTTTATGATCACATTTTGAGCTGTGCTGTGCTGAAAAGTCCTTAAGATGTATCAGTCTGTTTATAATTACCAAAATCAGTGACTTCCTTTTAGTTCTATCCTACTCTAACCTCTTCACTGCCTTTGGAACTGTGCACAGCTCCCCACTGGGAGCTCCTTCCTCTTCCTCTTGGCTTCTGGGATATCACTTGATCTTGGTTCTCTTCCTGTCCTCAGAATATCTTTTTTCAATTTGATTCACTTATTCTTCACTTTGTCCTTTATCTATTTATTTTTTTTACCCAGGATCTTAACCTTGGTCTCCTTTTCTTAGTTCCCTCTTTGTAATCTCTTGGCCTTTGAGATGCATTGGAGTACACCAGTGTCTCTAAATCTGTACTTTCAGCTACGACACTGTCTGTGACCCCAGATCTTACTTCTGTCTTTTTAGCGTTCTATCTGGATGTGCCACAGGCACTTCGCATGTAACATATCTAAAATTGAACTTGTCCTCATTTTGTCCTGTTTCCTGAACTGCTTCTGATTGCTGTATTCACGCTTCCTGAGTGGCACAGCTCACCCGGTCACCACTATATCCAGTCAGTCCCTAAGACCTGCTAAACTTCCCGTCTCTCTGTCTGTCCTTCTCTCACTATCTGCATTCCGACTCTCTTCATTTGGGTCCAGGCTGTTAAGAGTAGCATCGTGATTGGCCCCCCGTATCTAGTCCTTTACTTCATTCATGTATGGAGAGAGTGGGAGAGGTGGGTATGTGTGTATGTGAGAGAGAGAGGATACATATAATTGGTATGCAATTTAAAAAGCAGAAGTAACCTGTTACCAACTTCTTTTGTGTCCATGGCATGGGTTTTAAAATCAGAGACACAGATGTATAGAACAGACTTTTGGACTCTGTGGGAGAAGGCGAGGGTGGGATGTTTCAAGAGAACAGCATCGAAACATGTATATTATCTAGGGTGAAACAGATCACCAGCCCAGGTTGGATGCATGAGACAAGTGCTCGGACCTGGTGCACTGGGAAGACCCAGAGGGATCGGGTGGAGAGGGAGGTGGGAGGGGGGATCGGGATGGGGAATACATGTATATCCATGGCTGATTCATGTCAATGTATGACAAAAACCACTACAATATTGTGAAGTAATTAGCCTCCAACTAATTTAAAAAAATAAATAAAAAAAAATAAAATCAGACCTGATCTGGTAAGTTGCCTATGCTTAAAATTTTCTATGGTTCTCTATTATCTATAGTTCCGTTCAGCCACTCAGTCGTGTCTGACTCTTTGCGACCCCATGGACTGCAGCCTGCCAGGCTCCTCTGTCCATGGAATGCAAGGATTCTGGAGTGGGTAGCCATTCCCTTCTTGGATCGAACCCAGGTCTCCCACATTGCAGGCAGATTCTTTACCATCTGAGCCACCAGGGGAGCCCACCTACTACCTGTAGGAAGAATCCAAATGTCTTCATGTGGGATGTGAGGCAGTTTGGCCCTGGATTCTGTCCCCAGCTGTACTGTCCACTGGTGTGTATGCAGCGGGGAGTGCAGGCCTTTCCCTGTCTCCCTCACACGCCGCGCTGCTCTGAGCCCCCGTTCCTTTCCGGAGCCTGGGGAGGGCCCCGTACACACTGCTTTTTAGACAGCCCCTGTGCATTCCAAGTTCAGCTCGAATGTTGTCTTCTCTTGAAGCATTCACGAAGGTCCCCAAGAGTTCAGTTGCTTCATTTGCTGTCTTGTTCCTACTTTTTGTCAAGGCACATTTTATATCGTATTAAATGCTTGTATGACTTACGTTCCATCAGACAATGAGCTTCTTATATATTGTGTCCTATGTAACTTTATATTCTTGTGTGCAGTAAATGTTTTTTAGAGAAGTGAAATGTGGCCTTTGCCTTCGTGCATAGATTGGATGAACATATCTAGCAATTATAAAATCTTATGTTTCCTTCTAAGTGGTATATTATATATAAAAAAATGGTGTCCAAGAGAAGACACCTCAAAGGGGGATGTTGTGACTTTCACTTCTATAGGTTTAGAAAATTAGTTTCATCTCTTCTACCAGGAATCGTGGGGCTTTAAGGAAATTAATTTCCCATTTACCTACTCAGAAGAGACTGACTTAAACCAGATGGCCACTTTGTTCATTCACAGTGGGGCTGCTCCTCTCTGGTGCCCAGGGGCCTGGTCTCTCTGGCATCAGGTACCCACACAACCACACGAACATCATGAGATTGTTTGATAAACTCAGAACCAACAAAAATGAAACTGAGCAGTGAAAAAGGGGTATTTTTTCCAGCTTACAGAAACTGACCCCGTTCCAGTATGACTCCTTAATGCCTGGAATACTCAGGACTGCCAGATGAGAATCTTTCACTGGGACAATTCAGAATAAAACCCAGCCAGAATCTTAACTGTGTGTCACTTCATTTTCTGAACACATCGTTGCTTGCGGCAGCTAACCTAGTATTTAAGTTTCTTTAGATCCGTGTTTCCCCCATAGTTCCATCCCCTCCCCCATACTTCAGACCCTGTATCGTTGCCTGACGACAGCTAGGTGTTCGCCAGTTCCCTTTAGCACTCTGCACACTGTCTCTTAGGGTGCGTCGCTAATGTAATTAGAGTATGTTGATGATTCTTACTAGTTTTACTCTTAGATACTAACGTTTTTTGTTTTTTAAAAAAACCATGTCTGAATTCTGGGAGTACCTTCTTTTCTCCAGATACTGACAAGTCTACAGGGACCACGGTCATGGTATAAGTTACCATGTTTATACCAGCAAGCTTCCTATCGTGTGATTAGGAGAAAGACTCTATATTTTAATTTAAGTAGTGTGGTATAATAAAAGTCAAGCATAGACTTTTAAAAGTTTTTTTAAAACTCTGTTTTTGGAGGAAAATAAATACAAATAGTTAAACTGTTTCCAGTAACCATAAATTATTATGATAGTTACTACCTTTTTGTGGCACTTTATAATTTAAAGAGTGTTATATGTTATGTATTAATTTTGTGAAATATTTATTACTAGCCCATCCTGTGGGTGAGAAAATTGAGACTCAGAAGCTAGATACCTGGCCTCACATCTTCAGTAGGGAGTATAGAACTAAAGCTTATCCTTGGGCCTTCTGCTTTCATACCTGCGTCATTGCCTGTGGTTCTCAGACATAGGGGTTTGATAGATTGAACTTTTTTTTTTAATTTGTAAGGTCATTTTTGAGGCAGACTAGCATTTGCTGTTACCATTATTTTATACATACATATATATATATATATATATATAAACATTTTAATGTCAAAAAAGTACAAAGACAATGTTAGAATAAAGATAGTCTTCCTCAAAAATGGACAGTTGGCAACTTTACACCAATAAATGTGTATCTGGATGTAAGTGTGTATATATATGTACTGTAACTTTAGGTGTATGTTCTTTTTTTGTTTTTATTGATTCTTTTTCATATAACCATGCCACAGAGCATGTGGGATCTTAGTTTTCCGACCAGGGCTCGAACCTGCAGCCCCTTCAGTGGAAGTGTCAAGTCCTAACCACTGGACCACCAGGGAAGTCCCGTACATGTTCTTTTTTTTTCTCATTTTGCTAAGGATTGGTGAAAACTGTCACTGATTAACCTTTGAAAAACCATTGCTTTAATAGCTCATTATCTAGTCCCAAACCCCTCCCCTGGAAACCTTAATGTGTAGGTTTTGTAGTCAGAGATTTTGTTATTATGTCTGCCACCTACTAGCTGGTAAATCTTGGGCAAGTTACTTAATCTTGCTGAGCCTTCCTTATCTCATTAATTTAAAAATAAACCAGAAGGGAGGGGGAAAAGAAAAAAGGCAAGTTTCAGAGTGCTTATGAATATTTAAATGAAATAACTTCGGGGGAAACATTTGTACCAGGTACTCGTACACACATGGAACTCAGTAAATGTTCATTTCTGGAAACACAGGCATTCCTGTGTTTCTACTGCTTCCTGACTTAGAGGCTGGTTGTGAGCCAAAATCTTCACAAGTACGTACGGTATGTGCTCAATGTTAGCATCAGACAAGGGGGCCCTGACATATTTGCACAAGAGTTATTAACAAGAACAGTTCCCTACTTGATTTTCTAGACTGTCTTCTCCAAATTCTCTTTATTCTCTCTCCTAACCCAGCTAAAAGAAGGAAGAGGACCACTTGTGCAAATGAAGACTCACTATTGTTTTCTTCTCAGAAGTGAATCATTTCCCTCCCTATCTTAGTCTTAGTGATTTAATCTAAGCCTTTTGTGCTTTCTGATTACTAGTTTGAAATTTTATGCTGTTGTTTATGCATTAAATCTTAAGTCCACAGCTTTATCCTCTGACTTCAAAAAAAGAGATCACTGCCTTTTTAAAATTGAAGTATAGTTGCTATGCAATATCATGTTACAGATGTATAATATAGTGATTCACAATTTTTAAAGGATTTCCTCCATTTGTAGTTGTTTTAAAATACCGGTTACATTCTCCATATTGTACAGTGTATCTTTGTAGCTTATTTTATACTTGTGGCTCAGTGGTCCAGTATGGGAGACGTGGGTTCAATTCTTGACTCGGGAAGATCCCCTGGAGAAGGAAATGGCAACCAACTCCAGTATTCTTGCCTGGAGAA